CATGTTTTACTGTAATCCAATTTCCTTTAACTTTTTCGAAGCTAGAACTATGGATTCAGAGAGACACTGGAGGGAATATTTTAAAGTGGGCATTTTGAAATCTGATATCAGCTTCATATTTTCATTGACATTTCATTTCTAGGTTATTAACAGCCTTACGTTAATATTTTTATTTCTTGTATTGTAGCTTTACGTGAGAATAATTGGTCGGGCACAAAATACCTCTCTTTGAGGTGCAGTTTTACTTGAAATCTTTTTACCATTGAAATATTGAAATAAATAGTTCTAGTTTCCTGTTTAAGATGGAATTGGGAGATCACGAATATTTAAGATGCTTTTTTATATTCATTAAAGTTGTTTAGGAAGGAAGTAGTCTTTGTCTATGAAAAAGATGGAAGGTTCAACATAACTGATGAGAAACAACCATGAGAAGCAAGCAGACCTGAAGAGCTCCCCAATGGCTCAGAACTGGGAAAAGATTCATAATGCCTAATACTTTCTCCAAAAAGGTTGTTTTTAGGGTTAAAACTCAAAATCACTTATCTCAAACGAAATACTATTTCCTAAGAAGCCAGGTGGTAAAGAACTCACATTTTCCTAACTTCTGCCTCGTTTGCTGAGTGAATATACGGGACTACATATTACACAGATAAGAAATCTGACTGAGAAGCGGGCTAAAGAAGTCAGTTAAAAGTTTTTCTCATCTGTAAAAATGAAAACTTTGTATGCCTTTGTAACAAGTTCCCCTATATTGGTATTTCTATAATGAGAAAATCATTATGCATCTTATTTTAATTTGAAGATAGAATGAGATTAAATACCATTTGAATTATTAATATTTCATTTCCTTATGCTAATACTTGTAGCTCTTTTTCTAAGAGCAAGTTCTTATCTTGATTATGAAAAGTGTTTTTTTACTGAAAAAGCCAATGAAAACCAAAAAACAAAAGTCAGGCCTAAGAGACCTAGCATATTTTTAATGTTCAATAACAAATTTTAAAATCGTAAATGTTTTAACACAAAACCAAACAATCCCTCTGATAAAGATGATGGCAATTTAACACATTAACTGATTTCTTAAGGGTACGAACGACTTTTATACAGATAAAAGCAAAATGGAGTTACAATTTTTTCAAAAAATGTTATAATAAACAATGAAAAAATAAAGACCTCTGGCTCTGCATGAAGTTTCAGAGTTTCTCTCTTCAATTCATACCTCTCCCTTACCCATGTTAACTGGTAGCTGGATCCTAAAACACTACTTTAGAAGTGTCTGGAATTACTTCTACTGCCTCTACTTCAGGTACAGGCTCTATTCATCTCAAAACTGTGTCACTCTGATAGACCAACAGTCTCTTTTCTCCTACTTTTCCCAGCTCTTTCTACCTGTTCTTGCAAACCCTGCAATGCCCTTCTCCCAACCTGAGGTCCTACTGCTTCCTCAGAACTTCATGGAAGTATATATTGAACCACCTGGTGCATTGATAATTCACTATTTACATTTTATATGTTGTGTACTAGGCAAATACTTGTGTAAAGACCTGTGCAAAGACTTGTATTATTTTCATTATCACCAGTGCTACAAGTAAAGCCAAACACATGGAAGGTTCTAAATAAATGGAAAAGCAACATGTCAGAATTAGGAGCATGGACTCTAATGTTAGCCACCCCAGGGTTCAAGTCCCAGCTCTGCCAGTTAGTAGGTGGCTATCTCTGGGAAAACTAATCTCTGGGCCTCATTTTTCTCACCTATAAAATTATATTTTAATGAGGCTAAATGAGATAATGCAGGAATGGCACTTGGCACACAGTAAGTGCTCAATAAATGTGAGCTGAAACTATTATGTGAATTGCTATTATTTAACATTTTCAGTTAAAAGTATAGAAAGTGTTCTGTTGTGGAATTCAGAAGTTCCTGAGTAACACTGTATTCCCTTCATCCTGTTACTTACAGACAAATTTTAAGGATTAGAAAGAAATCAAGTGCAGTAGGAGGATACTGGGCAGCTCTGTGACCCAAAGAATCCATGAAAGCCTTGTGTTACTTAGCTTTCTTACTTCCACAATGGAATGTTATTAACACCCACAGTACCAGTCACAGAGAGCTGCTGCAGGAACCAAATACAATAAAGCGTGCAAAAGTGGATAAATGAAGTTCAATTAACCTAATCCATCCTCACTTTCTCTTCCATGGTACAAACAGGAGAAATCTACAGCCAAAATTGAGATACACTGAAGATTACCACGGCTGGCAGCCTTGCCCAGCTTATGTATAAAGGCACAGCTTTTACCTAACAGGAAGCAGTTAGTGCAGCCCACCAAGTGCTTCTATGGTGGGAATCACCCCAGAGGCCAAAAATCCTGATACTGCACCCTATAAACATTAAGTGAGAATCTTTATAAGTATGCTCCAGGAATCAGTACTCTTTAAAGTTACGCAGTTTATTCGAACACGCAGCCACTACTCTAACCGAAGGACACGCTATGCACAATCCTTACCTAATTCCATCAGGTGTGCAAGTTTCCTAACCAAATGGCCTGGGCCATATTACACAGACTTCTTCACCATCCATAAGCTGAAGCAATTGGGGAGAAGTTACTAAGTTACTGAGAAGTTACTAAGTCACTAAGAAACCAAAGCACATCTACTCACCAAATAAACTGCTTGAATGGCCTCCTTTTGATATAGGTTTCAGTTCATTTAATCCCCAGGCATAACCTTTATAATTATTCCAAGCATGTTTCATCATCTGAGAAATAAAATAAAAACAGGATTATAATTTGAATGGGGATGTTTTTTCTACAAAATAGGTAATATATGGAAGAGCAAAGGCTGAAACATTAAAATTCATTAGTTAAAAGGATGACTAAGTAAAAGGGTTATGATTATATAAACCAGAACACACATGCTCATATAAACATGCTCGTACACTACACACTACCCTTTTATGTTTACAAATGGAAAGTTTTCTTTTTGAGTTCGTTTAATCCCATTTAATACAAATACCATTTTCAAAAGTCAGTTCCCAACAACAGGAATTTAGCTTATCTTAAAAGTATGAACCATGTCTACATTTATCTAGTTCATTTTCATAACAGATTAATTCTGCAAAGACTATCTTTAAAATTCGTATTTTTGCACAAAGTTCTTCTTACTTTGTTGACCTCACAGCTTACAGATAAATATTCAGGTTATCCCTTTAAATCACTTTGATGTTTCTTGACCAAGACTATATGGAGAAGTATTTTAAAATATTTACAAGAAATAAAAAATAAAACTGTGATCATGCCTAGATTTTGGAAAAACTTGTTTATTTTAACGTGATCAATCTTTAATTGGATACATATGTGTGTATATGTATGTAACTGAAGATTGATCCAGTATATTCCTAATTGAGGGTCCATGCACCAATAATGGTTTTAAAAGCCAAACCCCTCTGCCATAAATTAGTTGTATAAATTTTTTTCAATGACTCAAAGAACACATAATTATTTTTGTACACATATTTTTTAAAAGGGTTGGGATGCTTCAACTGTCTAGAACTTAATTCATGCCACCACCCCCAATTTATTATCAACAGTAATCAAAATATGGACATAATTGGAAAATGTTCCAATCTGGCTCCATATTTCAGAGTATCTTAAAGCATCACATAAAGTTATAGATATTATTTATGGGCCATTTACCACTCAAAATCTTCATTGAGATCAAT